GAGTAGGAGGGTAACAGCCGCCATGGCCTTTATTGATCATAAGTCAGAGACTCCACTCCAATAGTTGCAGCAACGTCAGGGCAGAGAGGCACCTCCAAGTTCAGCACGACCTTGTTGGGGATCTTGCAGCCAGCAGCGCAAGGGTGATCAGCGGGAAGATCGAACAAACTAGCCTCACCTACAGCTTCAACCTTAGCCCAGAAGGCATTAAAGCGAGCCTGCTGCTCTTTACCCTCACCATACAAGCTGCTAACGCATCGAGCCGCAGCTTCCCATCCTCCCTCATGGCGATCAGCCAGGAGCTTAGCAAAAACAGGAGAGAGCGCAAAAGACTTGAGAGCCTCTCTCCTAGCAGCCTCCAGCGCGACAGCATGCGCAGCCTGTAAATCAGCCACCTCCGCCTCTAACGTCTTCACCCTGGCCTAAGAAGTCCCCAACTGCTCCTCGCAGTCCTTCAGCTTGGTCTAAGTGAGCTGAAATTCTCCCAATTAGAGCTGCAAGGCCTCCGCCTTCTCCCTCAGCGGAGTCACCTCATTGGCCATAGCATCCCTCTCAGCTTGAGCCTGCTTAACCTCCAGAGTCTTCTGGGAAAGAGTTATACCGTGGTTATGATATTCCTTCTCCACTAACAGCAAGGCATTGGACAAATCCCCCACAAACATAACAAGCTGCAAGAAAAGCAGAAAAGAAGAGTCAGCCAAAGTGGGAGTTAACAAAAGAAGTTAACTATAACAAAAAATAAAAAATAAAGTATATTAATAAGTAAAACAAGACATCAACAACAAAACAAGCAGAGAAAAGCTGAAATAAGAAAAAGAAAAGCCAAAAGCAGAGACCAACCTTCTGCAAATCATGGCAAGCAGTAGTTGCTGGACGGCTGACTGAACTGCGCGTAGAATTCGCAGGGAGACGAACCCCCTGAGTCAGGCGGTATCCTAGAGTACCACCCTTCTGAGGGTTGTCTACAAATAAAGACTCATCAGCCCTCACATTCATCAAAGGCCGAAAGGGAGCGTTCTCAGCTCCAGAAGGACAGAGTATTGGGCGAAGATGAATGTCAATAGGGACCTCAGCAAACTCAATGGCCCCAGAAGGGCGAAAAGTCCCTCCAGCAGAGAGTGAGGACGCAGAAAGAGGATTCTCAAAGGCATCACCCAAGAACTGATGAACGCAGCGGTTAAGCTCACTAGAGTTCTGAGTGTCTCCCCCACCAACGTTCCCACCTGGAAGTCCAGTGTTGGCAGACGTGGTAGCAAGAGGGTCTGGGCTAGGAGAAGTGCGAGCCTTTTTCGCCTCTGGCTAATCCCTAGCAGGGGCAGAAGACATAGGATCGTCCTCCAGGTCAATCACTGGACGATCCTACTGGAGAGAGCCCGCAGCTCGGGAGAGCCCATCCCGGGTAGCGCTTCGGAGCCGCCCCCTCAGCCCGTAGGGACGTGACGGAATCCTTAGAAGCTCCATGACAGATTCATCAGGGAGCTGAAAATCAGTAGCTGCAACAGAACGAACTGCAGTGCCCTTCACAACAACAACATTATCAGTAGTAGTAGGAAAGAGCAAAACATGCTCAGCCGAGGAAACGGGTTTTTCACCCGCAGCAGTGGTCTCAATCCCCTTAGAGGAAAACTGGAGAACACTATCAGCAAAATCATCAGCAGTAGCCTTTGGTTCTTCAGAAGCTTGTTCACGTGGCCTTTTGGCAGCAGAAGTTTGAGGTGCCACCCGGCCGGAAGCCGCGACAGACTGCTTCTCAAGGGAAGCAGTAGGCACCACTAACGCTGCAGAATCTGAAGCCTCCTTTCGAGGAGCACGACGAGTATCACGCCTACTCCCAATAGTAGAAGACGAAGGCTCAGGCTCAGCGCGGCTAGACCCAGCACGCTCGCCAGTAGCCACGGTTGCAACAACAACGCCTACTTCCATACGCACCTTGCCCTTCAGGGAACCCGCAAACACCTCCAGCGTATCAAAGAGCTGAGGAGGGTTCTCAGGAGTGGCAGTCAAAGGGTCCTTCCAATTATCGGCCAGCCCGAGCATGCGTTTGTCCAACTTGTCATAGCCTAAAAATACAAAATGACAAAAAGTCAAATAAGGCAGACATACAGAAAACAAAAAAAAAGGAAGAAGGCAGAAAGAGCTTACCACACTCATGTGTACGGCACAAACGCATGGCAGAAAGTTGCTCATTACACACGATGTAAATAGAGTTGGGCCGCCAGACCTTGGGAAACTTGGAGTCACCTGTCCCCACTCCCTGTAGAGCCTCAAAAGCTTCTGTCTCACGAGCAGGTTTAGAGGGAGAAACTGTGACCCCTGCCATGTTGGTGCGAATCTCTCTGAAGTTGCGCGGAGCAGCAAAATTGGAAGGCACTCTCACCCAGAAGAACTTGCTAGTCCAGTCCCTAAAACGCCCAAGTTTTGGGTAGGACAAGACTCTTCTCTCTTTGGGAGCGACATAGTACCACCCTAATTCAGTCCCAGAGGCTAATCTTTTCAGGCTCATGAGAGACTTGAACAAATGCAAGGACTCAGGGTACCTTCAAAAACTCAAAAACCACAGTAGACAAATCAGGGTATGAAGGGAGGCAGGGTGCACCAGAGAAATGCAGATGTTAAAAGCAAGTAGCATCTTCTCTAAGGTAGGGTCCAAGGGGAACCTCAAGCCCAAGTCTAGCTGCGAGGCAAACACAACAATATGACCTGCAGGAGGGGCTGATAACTTCACACTGTTAGCATGCAGAACCAGCTCGTAGCCCTCCCCAAAACCGTAAAACTTATGCCCAACAGCAGTCAGGTCCAGTCTCTCAGCGTCCTTACGCCAACTGGAATCTAGCACACAGTTCTTAGGCCCATAACACTTGTCATCAAGGAAGAATTCAGTCTTGCCCTTCTCTACGGGCTCAACAACATAAGTGGGCTGACAGTCGAAGTATGAGCGGTCACCAGGAGACTCAGCCATTCTACTTGATTGAACTGTTGGGGAAGGAGAAGGTGATGGAGTCCTAGTATTCCCATCGCGCACTACATAATGATCAAACCGATGCATGTCAGCCATGTCATCAAGCCAAGCAAAACTGTTTAAAGGCTGAACATGGGGAATGGGGCTAACAAGAGACACATTAGGGGGATTGGCCTTAATAGCATCAACCAACATTTTATGGCGCATTGCGCGCAACCTCAGGCGATTAAGATGGGATAAGGGAACCCCATCCAGCGTAAGCACTCGCTCACAGTAAGGATCAAAGAAATCAGGATGGGGTATAGGCTGGAAAGGGCGAAATGCACTACCCTCAGCGGGACGACTACTGCCTGACCTAGACGCAGCGGCAGGAGTCGCAGCAGTACCCATCCCGCTCGCAGCGGGGGGAAGGTCAGGAGGTATAACAGTTTGTAAAGGAGTAGGAGAAATAGAAGAAGTGTGCGCAGAACGCTCACCTTAAAAAGAAGATCGGGAAAAGGAGGAGTCCGATCCTGTGGCCATTTGAGGCTCACTCATATTCTGACTATCAGAGGCGTCAGACATTATGAAATCTACAAAGGAATACAGGCCCACAAAGGAAGGAAAAAGCAATGGGGCACGAGAAAATCAAAGAATCAGTTTAGAAACAATGAAGGAATAAGTAGAAAAAAGCCAAGAATGCAAATACAACAACAAGAGAGAAGAAATGGGAATAGCGACAATTGGGAAGAATCAAAAGGCACAATCTTGCGAAGAAAAAGTAAAAAGAAGCCAAATTGGGAAAATACAAACAACAAAAGGTACAAAGTAAGTACCTTTAAGGAAAAAAGTTGCAGAAGCAACAGAGTACAACAACAATGGCGGAGATAAAAGCCCAAGCAAGACAAAAGTCCGAATCTGCAATTAAGAAGAACAAAGGAGGAAAAAAGTTAACAAAAGAGCAAGAGTTAAAGGAGAAAAAGCAAGTAAAGCGAAAGTCAAGACAAAAATAAAGACGAAGAAGCAAGAACTTACGACAACAATGGAGGATCAGAGACACTTGACAGAGGAAGAGCAAAGAGCGAAAATTTCAAAATGCCAAAGTAACGAAGAGGGAAGATGAAAAAATTAGAGGCGTAAAAGAAATAAGTGAAAGAGGGGGACAGTGAAATTAATATGGAGTAAATGGGCAGTTAGACACAAGGCAAAGCCAAACTGCCATGTCACTTCAGTAAAATCAAATTGACAGCCCGGATTGCCAACACGTGTCCCACTCATGCAAATGCGATCTCGCTCAAAAAAAATAATAAATAAAAAAATTTTGAGAAGGGAGCACTTCAGCGGGAGTGATCGAAAATCCTCTCTACAAGCTCGTCATTTCTCAGACTTCGGCGGGAGTGATCGAAAATCCTCTCTACAAGCTCGTCATTTCCACTACAAGAAAAAGGGTAATTAGCGACGGCCAATGTAGTCGCAAATCCATCGCAAAAATGGATTTGCGACGGATTTGCGACTACTTTGGTTCGTTGCCAAAGACCTCGTCGCAAATCCATTTTTGCGACTAATTTTTGGACAGTCGCAAATTTAGCGACGGATTCGCAACGCCTTTGCAACTACCATTTAGCGACTAACTTTCAAATTTTAGCAACTAAATTATTGTCCGTCGTAAAATATTTGCGACGGATTAGCAACTACTTAGACCAATGTTTTAGGACTACTTTTGCGACGGATTAGTGACTACAAGACCAAACTTTTGCGACTACGAGACTAAACTTTTGCGACTACAGAGACTAGTTTAATTGCGACGGATTTGCGACTATTGAGACTAATGTGTTTTGCGACGGATTAGCAACTACATACGAGGCCAAATTTTTGCGACTATAAAACTAATTATTTGTGAAAGATTAGCGACTACTGAGATTAATGATTTTGCAACTAACCAATTAGTCTCTAAACCAAATTTGCAGTCGCTAAATATTTGCGACTAACTATCAATATTTGAGACCATAATCAAGCGACAACCAATATTAATCACAAAGAAAAAAAGGTACCCACGCATAAATTCAAATAACCAAAATGTTAATTTTATTCAAATATCCAAAATATCAATCAATTTTGTATCAATGTATTAAAAAACAATATTTAACTTATAAGACTAATTGTTCCAAAAGTCACCTCCCATATAAAAAAAAAAGCTACTTCAAACAAGAATTAATGACAATGTAAAAGACCAGTTGTTCATAAAATTACCACCAAGAAAACAAAAATCACTTAGTTGTATCACGAGAGCGGGTGACTGCAGGCGTAGGAGGCTTATAAGGACGGTAAACTTGTTTTACAAGTGATGTCATTTCCTGCAATGTTTTTTGCATAGCTAATTTTTCCTTCTTCCATGTAGCTTTTTCAATCTCATGATTTTCGACGAATTCCTTAGCACATTTTAAGCTCTCTGCCGCTATTTTTTGGCTTTCTTCTACCTTGTTATGGTTTTCTTCCGCCATCTTCTTTAGTTCTTCAAATTGAGAACTTAATTGAGAAATCATGGAAGGAGTGGAAGATGATGCAGTAGATTGAGAAGTAGGATCACTCTTGTAATACATTTGTGAAGCACTCCCTAAACCGTAGACTTTTCCTTTCTTTTGCCCACCTACAACCTCCAAGTAGACTTTTTCGGGGTTTATCTCAATTCCTTTGTTCTTATATTCCTAAAGTTTTTCCATATATTCTCCCTGCATTAAGATATGTATTAGTAACTATGATCTCAAATGTTAAAACTTTAATAAACTAAATACATTTTAAAAAAAAAACAACTATAATAAAAATACAAGCAATGACTCGGGACATCGTCCGGGATAAAAACTTGTTTGGACTTCTAAAACACAATTTAATTTAATTGCTTTAGAGCAGCTAATAGATATTACCCATCAATGATGCAAGAACATGAATACAAGTACAGTCAGAGTTGCCTCTTAATAGAAGTTCCAGATTACAAAGGTACAACTATTGGGAACAGAGGATCATGGGTATTTTTATTATAGTTGTTTTTTTTTTAAATAAAAAAGGTAACACTTACAACAAAATAATTTATGTAAGCAGTTATTAGTAAAAAATTCGGCTGAGTCTCCTTTGTAAATTGAAGAATCCCCTCCTATAGGGTATGGCTTCAAAATAAACCTGTCTCAATTCACATTGTGCCATACCACATTAATCATATGATTAATGCCGGCAAATCATTCTCATCCTCCAACTCAATCACACAAACAAATAAACAATCTATAATATCTCCAAACATTAACTACCACATTTTTTTTTTGTAATCTTAGCAAAATATAGAAGTATACTCATACCATGACTTTTTGAGACTTGTCACCCATCAATTCAACTTCATCATTGCCCACACAAACAGAATGAGTGCTCTCATATACTTCAGCAGCAGTTGGTAAAATTCCATCCTTTTTCTTTGCCTTGTATTAGAAGAAGTTGTTAGCACTAAAAAAAATACAACAAAAAATAGGGGACATAGACTACAAAGCAATTTTAATAAAGACTAGTTATTGTCATATCTTAGTGGCTAAAAATTTTCTACTTGCTTCAATCTTATATAAAATCACAAGTTAGCTGCTAAAATCATACACTTACCATTTTTTTAACTACTTGAGGAGTAGATACGCTACCTTGGCGATGGCCAGGGTCAAACTTCTCTAATGTTTGGCCAGATAACCGATTATCTCTTGCTTGGTTAGAACGTTTCAGAAAATCAGGATGCTTACGCTTATTTATGAATTCAGCTCGAACAGTGTCAGTCATGAAACTAACTTCCTTATGGAGAGGCATTTTGTAAACTTGGTTCAATGTGCCCCTAAGTCGGTCCCTAGCTTTTTTGTCAAATTCTCTCCTAGCCTTAGCATCGAACTCAGTTCTCCAAGTATATGTACGCTGCACATAATTAACATGTAAAGCTTATAATTTTAACTCAAAATAGCATATTATACATATATAATTTTATTTCTAATTTATAAACAAGATTTTGATGGGAAAGTTTAAGCTTATGGAGAGTTTAAGATTTTGATACAAAAACAATCTATAACAAAAGAAGACACTTCTACATATATAAACAAGCAGCAAAGAGCCAGCATACAACTTCCTGTATCCAGTAAGCTACAACATCTTTATATAGACTCATGCATGCCATACATGCTCATTAGTAACAACGTAGATGTAGTTAGGCACCTGAATTATTTATGTTCCCTTGGAAAGGAAACTGGAAAAAAACTGTAAAATACTGATTAGAAAACCACTTGATGGGAAACAAATATAGTGCCCATCATACCATAACAATACAAACTAAAACGGGAAGATAAACTTTTGAAATTGATCAAACTAATTTCTAAGTTGTGAGGGCAAAGCAGCTTGCAAAAGCATTGTTCTTAGGATTTCTATCTAACTTCTAAGAGAATCTGGTTCAACAGCATAAGCAACCTCATTATACAAGAGTTTCAAATCATTACCTCAAGCTACCAGTAAACCCTTAGCTAGCAGTAACAAACATGGGGTTTTAATGTGAGCAACAAGAAAATTACAGCAAATATTAGCTCATGATGGTTGCATTGGTGTAAGAAAAGCAGGGTGCAGAAGGGGACCGTTAACTAAAGCTTATCCAATGCAACTAATTAACAAAACCTAGAAATCAACGCCGTGAAGACAGCATTGTCATCAAACCTGGTTGCAACTTAACTGTAAGTTACCCTTAAGAAACTAAATCCCAGGATTTAAAACGGTTGTATTTTTTCCTTTTCTACGGTACACTAAAATGGCTATGCTTCTCAGACTTCTAGCCTAGTTTCCAAACACACAGGTTTCAAGCTGCCTAGTCTTCTGCACAAGTTCTGGCATATTTTACAAGCATACATGCAGAAAAAACTGAACTCACCTGAAGCTACATCAAATTAATATTAGTATGAAAATGAAAATTTGAAGCGTTTGCTTGCATGACAATTAGTTTGAAACAAAAGCCAGAAGAAAGTAACTAGGAAAAGGTTTCTCTTTGGCTAAAACATATTTTGTTGAGTTACCCACTACTCGATCTATTCTTTCTCACCTGTTTTCACAATTTATCATAAACTTAGAATAGGAAGACGAATGAGCCATCCAGATCATTCACTATGACTCCAAACTGAACTACAACCAAGAAGAAAAATATTCTTCAGAATTTTATGTCAAATTCACAACACTGCACTCATAAATAGCTAGAAAAACTAGAGTACGTAATGCTGCTTATTCACTGCAAATAAATAAGTAACCTAATCAAGACATAAAATTGAAGCATTCTCCTCATATAACAGATTAAATCAGCAACAACCCATATTACATTCAGAGCAAAACAATGAACACTTCTTATACAGTCAGAAAATTCAAAACACTTCTAGTGTATAGGCAACCCCCGCTTGCCCTACATCAATTTCAGAAAATCAAGCGAACCCTAGAACACAACCACCAGAGTTTTCAAACAGTTAGCAATGATGCAGCAAATAGGAGCAAGAAAGACAGATTTTTCAGCAAGATCCTACAACGAAATTCGAAAGAGCGTGCCCTACCATAAAATTTAGAGGTTACACATTTGGATTGGTACTTAAAATTTCTTAAAACAAACCTGGCATGGCTGTTGGAATACACGAATGTTGTCTCTGGTGGGGTTAGAAGTGTTGCTGCTGTGGATTGTGGCTGTTGGAGGTGCCCTGCTGCTGGCACTGTGCGCATCAACGCTGATGCAGCGGTGTTGGAAGGGTGGGTTGTGAGCTTGGGGGCTGTGATTAGGGACTTTGATGGCAGCATTATGGCTGTGATGGTTGGTCATGTGAGTGCTCAGGTCCGTGTGGCTATGGCAGAGGCTTTCGCAGCACGAATGGGGGTGGTTTTGGCTACTGAGTTACGGTGTCATAGGGTGTAATATTCATAGCATGTGAAAGACACCTATCAAGATTGAGTCATCTCTAGCCTTAAATCAAATTTCTCTATTTTTTCTAGACCCCATAATAAATATAACTATAAACAATATATACATAACAAAGATATCATAACCACCTCTTTGCAAATTCCAACTCCAAGGGTAATATAACTAACACTATAAAAATATTTATGATGACAATTAAATTCTAAACATACCTTAAACTCAGTGAACCAAAGATCCCTAACCATAAGTGGCACCTCAGTAAAATTCATGTATGGGTGGTTGTAGTGTGCTTTCCAAGACTTTGTGACATTTCCACTAACGGTATGGTCATCAAACCTGATGCAAGAAAGATTAAGCACAAGCATAAATAATGATAATAAGCTACTAATACAACAAATATAATACATAGATAAATATAACTGACCATAGCCCATCTGGTGAGAGCTCAATCTTTCCTTGTTCCACTCCATTCAAATTTTGTGGTGCCACATCATTCTCAACAACAACATCAGCATTAGAATTTACTTGTACTTGTCCATTAGAAGGTGGTGGTGTCAGTCGTGTGACCACAAGATTTTCTTGGTCAACCGATTGATTATTGGCTCGGACACCGCCTTGATTACCTCCCCGGCCAAATTTTGAATTTTTCATGAAGGATTTCATTTCCAAAGAACTAGAAAGATCAGAAGCACAATAACTAATTTATACATAATAACCCATAATAAAAAAAAATTAAAAAAGTAAGCTTACAAATATGATCAACAAATTTTAAAACATTTATCATATATCAAACAAATAAGATAAACACATTGTCTATCAAACAAATAAGCCCATAACAAAGAAAACACATTGAAAACTACAAGCTTAGAAATTATTCTTCTTCTTCATCCACATCATCATCATCATCATCATCCTCGTCATCGCTGTCAGTATATCCTAACTCTCCATCAACCTCTTTTTCAGATTCAGATATAGTATCATCCCATTCATCTTCTTCATGTTGTTCTTCCTCTTCACCACCTGAGTCGTCCTCCTCCATTTCATCCATATCCTCGTACATAACACCATCATCATCATCCGACGAACAAAGGGTTGGGGTCTCAACAATGTCTACTTGGAAAATTGACTCATCGAATGGGGCATCCACACTTGACCTAGCTTTAGTCTTAAAAACAGCCCACCATTGACTCTTATCTTTCTTTAAGCTTGGATAAGAGGTAAAATACACTTGATAAACCTGATGTGCTAGAAAAAAAGGATCATATGCAGGGTATTTCTTAGAGTGGTTTACATCAACTAATCTATATTGCTCATGAATATTCATACCATTCACTGAATCCATCCAATTACATTTAAACAAGACGGTTTTGAAGACATTTATGGTCCCCAAGTAGACCAGCTCAATGACTTCTTCTAAAATGCCGAAGTAATCAATTTCCTCCTCACTTATTACACCCACACCATAATTCATAGTTGCCTTGTGCTTTCCATAATAAAAAATGTGAAACTTAAAGCCATTGATGTCAAATTGCCTCCATGTTTTGACTTGTCTAGACGAACCCATGGCAAGTGCTCGAATCACTTCATCAGTCTCACTAGATTCGATAACCTAATTTCAAATTCAAGCCATTAATTAATAAAATATATAACCTTAGTCATATTTAGCGAATGATATATCGAAACTTGATTGTAAAAACTTACAAAATCCTGAAACCATTTGGAAAATTCATGTGAAAACTTGCTCCAAATATCATGTAGGTCAATACCAGATATTTTTACATCATCGACTCTTCAAACTTCCTATAAACCTTAAAACGTTAATTATCTAGCAAATTGCATAAAATAACTACCAATTATAGAAATTTGTACCTTTCATATCCTCCTAACACCCCACAATTGGAAAGAACATAGTGGTGTGCATGCTTGACTTCTTTCGAATCTAAAAACCTTGTTTGGACACCTTTGCCACGACCTTTGCTAAATTGGAATAATTCTGGTATAGTTGAATCTAGATCATCATCATCAACAACATTGCGTCCTAGATCTCTAGATTTCGTATCAACATTGAGGTTGAAAGTAATAAGAACAAAAGTTAGAAATCTCTTCTACAAGATAAGCCTTGCAAATCGAGCCTTCCACTCGTGCCTTATTACCAATTTTCTTCTTCAGATGATTAAGAAATCTACAAAATAACTTAAATTGACTCATTCACATGTAAAATTATAAATCATATAGAAGAAACTTGAAAACAATGGAGTGGATTAGGAAAATGTATATTACCTCTCAAATGGATACATCCATCTGTATTGCACAGGACCACCCACTTTTACTTCATGTGGCAAATGAACGGGTAAATGCTCCATTGAATTGAAAAATGCAGGTGGGAATATTTTCTCCAACTTGCATAAGATTTCTGGAATGTTTTTTTCTAAACGAGTCACATCATCAACTTTAATAGTGTAAGAGCATAGATCGCGAAAAACTTGGTTGATTTCAGTGACTGCTTTCCAAACATTATTAGGAAGAAGTTCTCTCATTGCAACGGGCAACAACCTTTCCATGAACACATGACAATCATGGCTTTTCATTCCATGTATCTTACAGGCTTGCAAATCCACACATCTACCAAAATCAGAAGCATATCCATCTGGAAACTTAAGATCTTTTATCCATTCACACAACACTCTACGTTGTGCTTTATCAAGAGTGTATGGTGCTTTTGGGAAGATCAAGCTCCCATCATCAGATTCAATAGGCTCTAAGCTCCTCCGCTTACAATATCGTTGAACATCTAGGCGAGCCTTATCTGTATCAACTGCGGTATCTTTCACATTCATTATTGTATGGATGAGTTGATCAAAAAAATTCTTTTCAATGTGCATAACATCTAAATTATGTCGAATCAACAAATCTTTCCAATAAGGAAGCTCCCAAAAGATGCTTTGCTTATGCCACCCTGTCTTAACCTTTTTTGATTTTGTCGAATGGATTTTTGGATCAATGGACTTTGGAATCTCCTTAACCTGCTCCCATAGTTGATGGCCTGTCAATATTGGAAGAGGCAATCGAGTTTCTGCTCTTTATTTGAAAAAAGCAGTGCGGTTTTTTCTATAAGGATGTGTAGGTGGGAGAAATTGACAGTGACTATCAAACCATGATACTTTAGAGCCGTTATCTAGCCAAAAAAATCTATGCTTGTCCATGCAGTATGGACAAGCCATCTTTCCCGATGTAGTCCAACCAGATAACATCCCAAACGCAGCTCGTAACTTGAAATTTTGCTTTGTGGATACATCATATGTCATTGTACCTACATCCCATAAAGATTTCAGTTCGTCAATCAAGGGTTGCATGTACACATCCAAGTTCCCTTTTGGGTTTTTAGGACCCGGAATGAGCAAGGATAAAAACATAAACGGATTCTTCATACATAACCATGGAGGCAAGTTATATGGGGTAACAATTACTGGCCAACAAGAATATTGCCTAACAAATTTTCCATGTGCTGAGAAACCATCTGTGCATAGACCCAATCTAACAAAACGGGGCTCACTTGCAAAATCCTTGTATGTGTTATCAAGATGTTTCCATGCTTCACTATCACTTGGATGGGCGAGTGTTCCACTAACCCTAGGATTTTGTGAATGCCACTGCATTTCCTGTGCAAGGTCTTTAGTCGCACAGAGCCTTTGCAACCTTGGCGCGATCGGGAAGTAGAATAACACTTTAGCCGGCACACATTTTCCACGAGAAGTCTTCTTATAACGCTCCCCCCCTCATTTCGAACACTTTTCAAGGTGAGCTTTATCCTTCCAAAATAACATGCATCCTTTAGGCCATGCATGTATCTTCTCATGAGGAAGTTCAAGGCCCTTTACCACCTTTTTAGTGTCATAGTACGTCTTGGACATTGAATTCTCATCAGGAATTACTTCACTAATGAGCGATGAAATACTATCGACATATCTATGGGGCAAGTTGTATTCACACTTCAAGCTCGTAATCCTTGAAGCCATCTCTAAAACAGATAATCAACTTCCTTCATACAATGGTTTTTGTGCGGCCGCTAACATCTCAAAAACCTTCTTAACTTGAGGATTAGGTTCTTCTTCAACATTTTGAATATCTTCATGCATTGGATCACCATCAACTTGACCAAATGCATCAATAATCATGTCAACATACGGATCCGATGGCTCATCAAATGCTTTTAAAGAATAAAAATCCTCTCCATGACAAACCCATTCATAGTAGTCATTAAGAAATCCTTTTTTATACAAATGCTCTCTAACACTTTCGACATCTAAAAAAGGAACATTATTACACTTTGAACAAGGGCATCTAATCTTTGAAGATTCTTGAAAATCACGGTGTTGTTTAGCAAACTCAATAAACCCTCGCACGCCAATTGTGAACTCTTTTTTTAGTAGTCGACCTTCTAATCTCTCATACATCCATTTTCGATTCAATTTCTCCATGATCCTAACTGCTAAACGACATTGTTAATCATACACACATATTCATTGGGTGGGACAACATAAATATAGAGAAACCAAAAAAAGAAACTTAATAGGAACAAAAAAAAAAGAAACTTAATTCATCAGTGTATGATATCCACGATTTGCATATGCTTATAGTGAAACAAGCAGAACAAAACTATGATAGGTACAACTCAATATATTTTACCAACTCAGGGAACAAAATTTCAGAACAGCGGAAACTACATACATCAAAATATGAAGCAGCATAAATATGAGAATAGGATATCTAGTGTTAAGGAAAAATATTAGAAAAATAATCTAAAAATATTATATAAGGTTTTAAGTCACTTTTTGTCAAGTGGTACAGCTGGAAAATCTGAAAAACATGGTATGCTAGTAAGGAGATGACAGTGTCTTTTCTAATTACATTTTTGAGTTTCAACATGTTTCTATACAGGTCTACTCTTTTAAATAAAAATCATGAGAAATATATATATTTCTATAACTATTATACTACGTACTTACACCTCATTTTTTGTTGATCTCTCTCTCTCACTCTAAAAAAAAAAATCTGCAATGGAGAATTTGGTAACATGGGCACGCTAAAATCACTTGATATGATAAATTATTATCTGAGAAACACATATTTAAACTGATGCCCCGTCTATTTTGCTGATGATATAATTTGACTATGTGAAGCACTACAATCAAAGGTGGACATTTCATTTTCAATCTCACACTCAAATATATGGTGTAGGACCATTAATTATGAGTAAATTCAAGTCAGATTCATATACAATTACATAGAAAACTAAAGCAAAGGACCATGAACACAAATTACAAATTGTATGATTTATAGCCTTGCATACAAAGATTTTCAGCATGACTTATCACTTATTAGTCACACACAACAGATTTAGCAATGAAATACCCACCATAATTCGTAGACCAATTACAAAGTTTCATCCAACAAATTCATATTTACAAAAGAATTAGCAGCAGAGCCAATATTCAGATTGTTAAGGGTTTGGTTATTGTTGACAAAAGTCAAAATATATTCCCAAATTCCCAAATAAAATTGGGAAAATTGCAGAAAAACTGTTTCTATTTCACTTTATTTTATTCCTAATTTATTTATTTTGTTATTTATTTGATTTTATTTACTTGTATAGTTTTATTTAATTTTTATTAGTTTAGTGTTATTTCTCTTTTTCTATTTCACTTTATTTTATTCCTAATTTATTTATTTCATTTTTATTTGTCTTGATTTCTCCTCGATTTTGTGTTTAGGGTCCCGGGTTTCATGTCAAGTGAGTTTGGAGATCGGGGACGAGTGAAAGTGTGTGCAATTCTTTACTTTGATGGCTGCTGCCCACCTCTTATCCATCACCCCACCTTCTTAACCTCCACCACACCAATTCCCCTGCTCCCTCTTGCACACAGCAGCCCACCAAAACCTTGCTGCAACTACCAACCACATCAGCCCACCAAAACCAATGAACATCCCCTGCTCCCTCTCCTTCACTCACGCATCAAGCCATCAACCACCACGCATTCCAGCCTTACCACCAACAACACCACACACACCAGCACTAACCACCGCCAAAACCGCCAGCATCTCCTAAAACTAATTAGCCACGCACTTCTTAGCCCACCAATTTCATCCATCATCCACCAGAGCAACCCCAACTGCTACAGCAACAGCAGCCGCACCACCACAGCCCAAACCATCCACGAAATCACACCTCAATTCTACCACCATCACCCAATTGCAGCCGCACCACCACCTTCACACGCAGCCGCAACAACAACCCAATTATCCCCTGCTCCAATTCACCTCGCAACAGCCCCTGCTCACCCTCACCAACACCAGCAGCCACCCAAACCAAACTAAAATCACCACAGCAGCCCCTCACCAACACCACCGTCAACAACCAGCAACAATTAAGCAATTCGGCCCCTCAATTAAGCAAAATTTACTCACAATTTGCATAATCATTAACCAAATTTCACGAAATAAGGTTAGTCCAATTGCGCAAAAAACCAGCCACACATGATTCAATTATTCGTTACCAAGAAAAACTATAGTAGCTCGATTGAAATTTCAGAAAAGGATCCAAATAAGCCTTAATTAAGCACACATAATTGAACCCAATCTCGACAAAACGGAATTCTACCACCACGATTTCACTAATCAAAAGCATGAGTAAAAACCTAATATATCAAAAGCAAAATTAAGCTTATGAATTAGAAAACAAACCTTAAATTGATGATCAGTGGAGAACGTAAATTGCACTACAATAGAGATTCAGCGCACGAAAATAGCTATAAATTTGATATTTTTTTATGAAGAGCAGTAAAGAGAAGAGTATGTAAAGAGAAATAGGGATAAACTGCACTACAATAAGGAGTTATAGTTCTTTTTTTTTTTTTTGGCGGCAACAACTTTATTATACTAAGGGTTTTCTTTAATTCTTTCTTAATAAATTAAAAAAAAAATAAATAAAGTAGCGACAACCATGTTAGTTGCAATAGTAGTGCAATTTTTAGAAAAAAAATGATTGTAAAATTATTAACACTGGCAACTACAATTTAGTCGCAAATTATTATAAGAGTGTCGTAAATTAGCGACTGCATAGCAACTATTATAAAATCGGTTGCAATTTTTTGCGACTACTTGTCTATTTCAGTTGCAAAAATACTTTTAGCGACTGATTATTATGGTAGTCGCAAAAATCAGTCGCTAATTAGTGACCGCATAGCAACTACTGCAAAATCGGTTGCAAAATTTGCAACTACTCGTCTTTTTTAGTCGCAAAAATATTTTTTGCGACTAATTATTATGGTAGTCGCAAAAATCAGTTGCTAATTTCCCTTTTTCTTGTAGTGTTCTCAGACTTCAGCGGGAGTGATCAAAAATCCTCTCTACAAGCTCGTCATTTCTCATACTTCAGGTGGAGTGATCGAAAATCCTCTCTGCAAGCTCATCATTTCTCAGACTTCAGCGGGAGTGATCGAAAATCCTCTCTGCAAGCTCGTCATTTCTCAGACTTTAGCGGGAGTGATCGAAATTTCTCTCTGCGAGCTCGTCACTTCTTAAGTCTGGAACCACAGTCACCATACAAGCAATAGGGCAACGGACTCAGCAATAGCGATGCCTGACCTCCCAAGTCTCTAGGGCGCCTCAACACCTTAGAGACTTGAGGGGCTAGGAAAGTGCAGGTTATTTCAGTCAGACGACCCGTTGAGTCAAGGTCGATAAGGCTACACGCTCAGAACAACTAGCATGAAAGAACCTCACGCCATCTCTTGAGGGGCTAGTTGTAGGGGATAGGTCCTGCTGAGCTATTCCTTCCAGCTGGGCTCAGTTGAGAAGAACATTCTTACAGGCAAAGAGTCGGCATGAGTGACCTCATACCACCTCTTGAGGGGCTAGTTGTATAGGATAGCTCCCGCTGAACTATCGCCCAGCCCCCAGGGTGCACACTCACTGCCGAATAAGCAACTAAATGAGGGCTCATCAGCCCGGCAAATTCAGCCCGTAGGGCTGACCAGGCTAAACTCTCCACGAAGGAGATAATACGCCTATAAATAGAGGGTAAAGTACAACGGAAAAGATGTTAGAAACTCAAGTTATTACACTTTTTATATCTCTCTAAGTACACTTTCTCTCTCTAAACACTCTCTAACTTAAGCTTCGGAGGGGGGTTCCTCGAGCCACCCCGAGGGCAGTTTACGTGTGCCACCGTGTGTAGGTTATTGACGGGACCCAGCTCACCCAGCAGAACCCTTGGATCCATACCTGGAACAATTATTATTACTATTACTATTACTATTACTATTACTATTACTATTACTATTATTATTATTATTATTATTATTACTACTACTACTACTACTACTACTACTACTACTACTACTACTACTACTACTACTACTACTACTACTACTACTACTACTGTTGTTATAATTATTGTTGTTGTTATCGTAATTGTTGATGTTGAAGTTTGCTATTATTATTACTACTAGCTACAACAAATACTTGCACAAATTACTACTACAGTACTACTACTACTATTCACACATATAAGTACTACTTACTTGCTTACGTATAGTACTACTACTTCCTATTATTATTATTCTTATTATTATTATGGATTATTAAAGATAGTTTTATAAATACAAGTGCTGATTTTATAAAAAGGTTATGATAATAAATTGTTCATGCACAACTAGTCAAAGTCGATATTCTAAGTCCTTGTATCTATGGGTTGAAAAGTATTTGATTAGGATTATTTGTTTGTTATAGGAGCAATTTTGGGTTCGAAATTAGGAGCTCTGTAATTGTGTTCAAAGATCAAGGTACGTACACGTGGCTAGATCTTTTAAAGTGACTTTTATATGCAACGTGATTTACATGTTAAATGATTTTGAACCATGTTTAAATGTTTTTGAAATATATTTTGGTGAAACATGTTTTAAGTGTTTGATCTCACATGTTTAAATATTTCATACGGTTGATTATAAACTTGTACTGATATTCAAGATGTTTTAAAAAGGAAGTTTTATCTAACCTTAGCAAAAGTGAGGTGTACTTTAGTGGTTTGCTTGAATCTAAAAAAGATAACTTAAAGCTATTCTTGGGATGAGTAGGGGTAATCTTCCTTTCAAGTATCTTGGTGTTCCCCTGTCTTCTAAGAAGTTGACTATTGCTCAGTGTAGACCCTTGATTGAGAAAGTTACTGCTAGGATTGATAACTGGTCTTCTAGACATCTTTCTTATGTTGGAAGGTTACAACTCATTAAAAGTGTCCTTTTTGGCATTCAAGCTTATTGGACTCAAATCTTTATTCTTCCCAAAAAGGTGCTTAGGGAAATTGAGTCTAGATTTAGGGTGTTTCTTTAGACTGGTAAAAATGCTTATTCTAAGAAAGCTCCTGTTTCTTGGAATCATATGACCCTTCCTAAAGTTTGTGGTGGTTGGAATATCACTTTGCTGAGTGATTGGAACAAAGATGCTATCTGTAAGATTTTATGGGATTTAGCTCATAAATCTGATAATTTATGGGTTAAATGGGTCCATACATACTATTTCAGCAACAAGAATCTTTGGTCTGCTACTATTCCTAATAAGTGCACTTGGGTTTTAAAGAAAATTTGTGCAAGGAAGTTATTGACAGCATTGGTGGTTGGCCTGCAGTTACTCATAATGGAAAAATGAGTATCTCTGGAGTATACTCTAAAATAAGACCTCAGGCTGATAAAGTGAGCTGGAAGAGGCTTGTCTGCAATAATCAAGCTTCTCCTAAGAGTATATTCATAACTTGGATGGCTTTGAAGAATACAATGGTGACTAAGGATAGGCTTATTCAATGACATATTAACTGTGATCCTTTGTGTTTCTTTTTCCAGAACTGTGATGAAAGTGTTGCTCATTTATTCTTCTCATGCTCCTATTCTAGAGAAATTTGGCAGAAAATCCTTGATTTGCTGAAAATTCAGAAGACAGTTCAATGCTTTGAACTTGAACAACAATGGGTTGCAAGGTTTTGCAGGAAAGCTGTCAGGAAGTGTAAGCTTTATTTAATGTTCTTTCCTGAAACTGTTCATAGTATTTGGCTTCAGAGGAGCAGTTTGATGTTCAATGGTAGCTGTCAGCCTGTTGATTTGGTCTTCAGAGAGATTGTTTATAGAGTTGCAGTTAGGTGTTCTGAGTTTCACAGGAAACTCCTGTACTTTTGATGTTCTGGTTCTGGATCTTATGTCTTGTAAGCTCAGGACTATTTGTTTTTGTTTGTTGTTGTTCTTGTCTTGTCTGTTCCTTGCTTCTAGATACCTTCCTAGAAGGTGGCTGGAAGTTTGAGTCCAGTTCTGGTCCTTGGTTCTGTCTGGCACCCTTCCTAGAAGGTGGCTTGATAGTTTCTTAGATCTTTGTTGTTTGTTTGGCCATTTTGGGTCTTGTGGTGTTTGTTGTTGGTTATAGCTTAGCTTGCTGTAAGTTGTAACTTTTTCTCTTTGGTAATAAAATTCTTTATTTACTAAAAAAAAGGGAAGTTTTATTGTTTAAATTATCCCGAGTATGGGATATTGGAAGGTTTATTTATCAGGATTTACCCCTTGGATCTTTGGATTTTTAACTCCCACTATGCGGAGTAAGTTGAAGACTATGGACTTTGTATGGCCTAGTCTTTCCCCTTGATAGCACTATGTAAAGGAGTTACTAGCTTGGGGGGTGTGCACACTGAGATGGGAAAATGATTTATGAAAACATGGACTGATCCATCCTATTCGGAATTATCTTTGGAAAGCTGGTTATTTCAGAAATTGGTTCTTTGACAAGTTTTTATACATGAATTTCTATTCAGGAATGGTTTGGATAAATTCTGATTTATTAAAGTTAAATCTCTTCGAAAGCATGTTTAATTAATTAAATTGATTTTACATGTCTAGCATTTGTATGTACTTAGCATTTTGGCTAATACGTATTTGTTTTGTTTTGTCTTGGCCATACTTATCATTTTGATAGGTAGATAGGTGATGATGATCGGACAACGTGAACTATATGCTGCATTGGGAATGATGGGCGGTGATCACCTAGTTTAATTTAGTAAACATAGTATCAGTAGTTACTTTTGTAGTCACTTTTAAAGTGTATCAAACTATTATTATTACTATTAATATTAATGAAAGACAAGTATTATTTTCCGTTGCAAAACTCTGTTAAGCCTTGCGTAATCACGTGGCGGTAATACTCCTAAGTTACTCCCTAAAGTTGGATTATTATTGTTAATATTAGAGAGTAATTTAGGGGTGTTACATTGCTGTTGTGACAACCTTCCAAAATCTATGGAACTCCATCTTGCTGTTTTGGTGTTCACTCGTCTCTGAACAATAGAGCTTTTTTTGGATATGTCCACGAGTCTGTGAACAAAGAGCTTCTTTTTCTTGAATCATAGTGACAACCTTCCCAATCATAGCAAGCTGTTCCAGGTATGGATCTAAGGGTTCTGCTGGGTAAGCTGGGTCCCGTCAACAACCTACACAGGTAGCACACTTAAACTGCCCTCGAGGGTGGCTCGAGGAACCCCCTTCGAAGCTTACGTTAGAGAGTGTTTAGAGAGAGAAAGTGTACTTAGAGAGATATGGAAAGTGTAATAACTTAAGTGTATGACCTCTTTTCCGCTGTACTTTACCCTCTTTTTATAGGCGTACTATCTCCTTCGTGGAGAGCTTAGCCTGGTCAGCCCTACGGGCTGACTCTGCCGTGCTGACTCCTTTAGTCGCTTATTCAGCGGTGAGTGCGCACCCTGGGGGCTGGGCGATAATTCAGCGGGAGCTATCCTATACAGTTGCCGAAGACCGCCTCATCACAAACCGCCCTTCTCAAATCTCAGTGACAACCTCCACAATCTTAGCGAATGTTGTCGAAGACCGCCCATCTCGTGCTATCTTCTCACATCTTGGTGACAACCTCCACAATCTTAGCGAATATCGTCGAAGACCGCCCATCTCGTGCTATCTTCTCAAATCTCGGTGACAACCTCCACAATCTTAGCGAATGTCGTCGAATACCGCCTCATCACGAACCGCTCTTCTCGCATCTTGGTGACAACCTCCACGGGCTCTCTCCAGCAGGATCGTCCAGTGATTGACCTAGAGGACAATCATGTGTCTTCTACCCCTACTAGGGATGAGCCAGAGGCGAAAAAGGTCGCACTTCTCTTGGCCCAGACCCTCTTGCTTCCACATCTGCTAACACTGGATTTCCAGATAGGAACGTTGGTGGGGGAGACACTCAGAATTCCAGTGAGCTTAACTGCTGCGTTCATCAGTTCTTGGGTGATGCCTTTGAGAATCCTCTTTCTGCGTCCTCACTCTCTGCAGGAGGGACTTTTCGCCCTACAGGGGCCATTGAGTTTGCTGAGGTCCCTATTGACATTCATCTTCGCCCAATACTCTGTCCTTCTGGAGCTGAGAACGCTCCCTTTCGGCCTTTGATGAATGTGAGGGTTGATGAGTCTTTATTTGTAGACGACCCTTAGAAGGGTGGTACTCTAGGATACCGCCTTACTCAGGGGGTTCGTCTCCCTGCGGATTCTGCGCGCAGCTCAGTCAGCCTTTCAGCAGCTACTGCTTGCCATGATTTGCAGAAGGTTAGTCTCTGCTTTTGGCTTTTATTTTTCTCGTTTCAGCTTTTCTCAGCTTGTTTTGTTGCTGCTGTCTTGTTTTACCTATTATTATGCTTTATTTTTATTATTATTTATTTTATATTGTTAACTTCTTTTGTTAACACCCACTTTGGCTGACTCTTCTTTTCTGCTTTTCTTGCAGCTTGTTATGTCTGTGGGGGATTTGTCCAATGCCTTGTTGTCAATGGAGAAGGAATATCAGAACCAGGGTATAACTCTTTCCTAGAAGACTCTGGAGTTCCAGCAGGCTCAAGCTGAGAGGGATGCTATGGCCAATGAGGTGACTCAGCTGAGGGAGAAGGCGGATGCCTTGCAGCTCCAATTGGAGAATTTCAGCTCACTCAGACCAAGCTGAAGGACTACAAGGAGCAGTTGGGGACTTCTCAAGCCAGGGTGAAGACGTTAAAGGCGGAGGTGGCAGATTTACAGGCTGCGCATGCTGTTGCGCTGGAGGCTGCTAGGAGAGAGGCTCTCAAGTCTTTTGCGCTCTCTCCTGCTTTCGCTTCTGGCTGACCGCCCTGATGGAGGATGGGAAGTTGCGGCTCGATGCGTTAGCAGCTTGTATGGTGAGGGTGAAGAGCAGCAGGCTCGCTTTAATGCCTTCTGGGCTAAGGTTGAAGCTGCCGGTGAGGCTGGTTTATTCGATCTTCCCGCTGATCACCCTTGCGCTTCTGGCTGCAAGATCCCCAACCATGCCGTGCTGAACTTGGAGGTGTCTCTCTGCCCTGACGTTGCTGCAACTATTGGAGTGGAGTCTCTGACTGATGATCAATAAAGGTTATGGCGGTTGTCACCCTCCTACTCCAGTGGTTTCTCTAAGTTTCCCTCACCCAGATCTGTTGTAACTAGGTAATTTTTGTTACTATCTTTGGGGTGTATAGCTGCCAAAGATTATGTTTCTCTGTGTATTTTTAGAATACTTTTTCTTTCGTTGTTGGGTCTGTCCAGCTTAACTTGAATTTGTGATCTTCTAACTTTACCCGTTGAGTGTTTCCTTGTCCTGGTGGATGAGGGCTCAGCTTTATTTGTTCTGTGACTAACCTGCTGAATGTTTACTCTGCCTTGGTGGGCAGGGGTTCAGCCTTATAATGTATGCTCCTTATGATCTCCTCTTGCTGCTTTTCTTGTTGTTTCTTTCATTGTCTGCATGTTTGCTCTTTATTACATTTGGTGGGGCCTCGTAGGTTGGGCCTTCCTGTCTTTTTAATTTAGCTGCCTAGCGCTTTTCTATTTCTTTTGCGCTTTGCTATGCTTCAGCAAGGACTTTGTTACATTTTGTCCTTCCTGCTTTTTCTGCTTCAAGTGTTTGCGCGTTGTGTACTTCACTTGGCTTTGACCAAAGGCTTCGTCTGCGTGCTGGTTGACATATTTGATTGAGCGTTATTCGACTTATCCTTGCTGAAACTTGTTTGTGTCGATCAGCTTTTTGCTTATTTCGTCTGTGTCATCATCTTGCTTTGCTGTGACTTATTTGTGTCATTCTCTTATTTATGCTGCGACTTATTTATGTCGTTCAGCTTGTTTATGTTGTGACTTATTTATGTCATTCAGCTTATTTATGATGCGACTTATTTATGTCATTCAGCTTGTTTATGCTGCGACTTATTTATGCCATTCAGCTTGTTTACTGCCTGCTTACTTCTTTTTGTAAGGGCTTACTGCTTGACTGTCTTCTCCTTTCCTCTCCCCCCCCCCCTCGAAGAGATGGGCTGAATGGGACTAAGAGAACCTTAGTGTTGCCCATGTAGGTCATCTTCTTCTTCTCCTCTCTTCTCTCCTGCTCAAGCTAAACGTGTCAGGCTCCCCTTAGGCGTCCCCGAGGTGGTGCCCTGTTTTGCTTTTTGCAGGTGAAGTGAGGTTTTAATGAGGGATGCTTTCACTTTGTCATTTTGCGCTAGAGTGCTTCTTGCCTCTAACACTTTATTATTATTCTTTTTTGATTTCTGCATGTTAGTATATGATGCTTGGGCATACTATATTAAACAAATTTATACAACATACTCCTCACGCAGAGGCTTGTATTTCATTGAACAAAAATGGCTCAAATGCCTTAATTAACATATCATGGGCTGAATAAAGATTTATCGACTTGAAACAGCTATGTTTTCGGCTATTTAAACAAAATATTTCTTTAACACATCAGCATTGAAACTGTTTCTTAAGACCTGACCTTCTTGATCTTTAAGGAGGAACGCGCCTGGTCCAACCTGCTCGTGGATGATGAAAGGGCCTTCCCAGTTTGCTGACAGCTTTCCATGCTGATTTCCTCTTCCAACTACTGATGTCCTCCTGAGGACTAAGTCTCCTGGCATGAGCTCCTTGTGCTTGACCCTTTTGTTGAAAGCTTTTGAGATCCTGCTCTTTTGGGCTGCCAGCTTAAGGGCTGCTTTTAGCCTTACTTTTGGCAGGAAGTCTAGCTCTTCCAGCATGCGCTTTTCATTTCCTTGATGCTCATAGTGTTGTATCCTCAAGCTGGGAATTTGCACTTCCACAGGAACAACTGCATCAACCCCGTAGGCCAGGGTGAAAGAGCTTTTACCGGTTGACTCCTTCTTAGTGGTCCTATTTGCCCACAAGACCTCTGGGACTAAATCTGCCCACAGGCCCTTGTACTCCTCCAGCTTCTTCTGTAGGGCTGTCAGGATCAGCTTGCTTGCTGCCTCTGCTTGGCCATTGCTTTGTGGGTGGCAGACTGAGGCACTTGCATACTTGGTGCCCATAACCCCCAAGTAGTCCTTTATGGTGTCACAATCAAATTGGCACCCATGATCAAAGACTATGCACCGTGGCACCTCGAATCTAGTGATGATGCTCTTCGATATCAATGTTCTGACCTGGGTTGCCTTTATGTACTTGGTGGGCTCGGCTTCTATCCACTTTGTAAAGTAATCTACTGCCACAATGAGATACTTCCTGCCCGCTGACCTAGTGGTGAAAGGTCCCAATATGTCCATTCCCCACTGAGCGAACGGGATCGGGCTGAGGATTGGAGTCAGATCGTTTGCTGGCTGATTTATGACTGGTGAATATTTTTGACACTTGTCGCATTTTTTGACATATGCTAGTGCGTCTTGCGTGAGAGTTGGCCAATATGCCCCTCTTCTGAGGACATCTACTCCCAATGCTTTCCCGCCGATATGGTTGGCACATATTCCGGAGTGGGCTTCTTCCATAATGCCCTCCTACTCCCATTCTAGAATACACCTCAGCAGCGGCTTTGAGAAGCCTTTCTTGTTGAGCTCTCCATTCACCACTACATACCAATTTATGTCTTTCTTCACCTTTTTAGCCTGTGCTTCATCATCGGGCAGCGAGCCATGAAGTTTGTACGCCAAGATGTCTGAGAACCAGGCTCTTTGAATCCTGACGCAGTTTACCTGCTCCTTTTCAGCGATGCTGCTCTCCTCTAACACTTTGACCATCACTGTTCTTGTGAGGCTTTGTAAGGTGGAGCTGGCTAACTTAGATAAGGCGTCAGCCTGAGAGTTTCCTGCTCTGGGGACCAAGTCTATCTGGAAATGGACTAGCTGGGCTGCCAGCTCTTTCACTTTGGTTACATATTTCATCATAGTGGCTTCCCTTATCTCATACGCCCCCTGAAGTTGGCTGGCAACGAGCTGAGAATCAGTTTGCAGGTGTACTTTGCGGGCTCCGACTGCGAAGCTCATACGCAGGCCTGCCAGCGTCGCCTCGTACTCTGCTTCATTATTAGACGCTTTGAACTTGAACTTGATGGCATACTCAAATACGTTTCCTTCTGGAGACGTCATTATGACTCCTGCCCCACTCCCCGTTTGGGCTGAGGATCCATCCACTTCCACCTTCCAGACCCCAACGTCATCCTCTTTCTCCTCATAGGAGGCTTCCACTATGAAGTCTGCTAAAGCTTGTGCCTTGATGGCTGCTCTAGGCTTGACCTCGAATTCATACTCAGAAAGCTCGTCTTCCCACTTTAAGAGTCTACCCGATGCATCCATCTTTTGTAATGCTTTCTCCAGCGGGTGGTTTGTGAGGACCTCTATTATATGCGTGTCAAAGTATGGTTTTAGCTTTCTTGCTGTTGTGACCACTGTGAAGGCTGGCTTCTCTACCAGGGGGTATCTTTGCTCTGCCTCGGTCAGCACGTGGCTCACGAAATATATCGACCTTTGTTTCTTCTGTCTTTCTACCAGCAAAACGGCTGCATTTGTCTGTATTGACGCTGAGATGTACAACTGCAGTTTTTCCGTCAGCTCCGGGCTGATCATTGTTGGGAGTTTAGTCAGATGCTCCTTAATACCCTCAAAGGCTTCTTTCTCCTTAGTCCCCCACTTGAATTCTCTGTTCCCTTTCAAGCTGATAGAATGGCAAGGCTTTGTCTACTGACTTGCTGATGAATCTGGTCAGTGTGGCCATTCTGCCTGTCAACCGCATGATATCTTTGATGCTCTTAGGCTCGAGCAGATTGAAGACTGCTTCGACCTTTTTTGGGTTGGCATTTATTCCTTTCTCGCTGATCAGAAAACCCAAAAACTTTCCGGAGCTCACTCCGAAGACACATTTTTTCGGGTTGAGCTTGATTCTATACTTGTTCAGGGTGGCAAATGTTTCCTCCAGATCCATGATATGTCCAGCCTGCATGACGCTCTTAACAATTGAGTCGTCAACGTATGCTTCCACATTTCTTCCTTTCTGGTGAAGGAATACTCTATCCTTTGCCTTTTGAAAAGTTGCTCCAGCGTTCTTCAGCCCGAAGGGCATAGCTATCTAATTATACACTCCTCCTTCGGTAATGAATGCAGTTTTCTGCCTGTCTGGCTCGTGCAGGCTGATCTGATGGTACCCTGAGAAGGCGTCCATAAAGCTTAGCAGGGCGTGCTCGCTGGTTGAGTCTACCAGTTGATCTATCCGTGGCAGTGGGTAACAGTCCTTCGGGCAGGCTTTATTAAGATCTGTGAAATCAACACACATTCTCCATTGGCCATTTGCCTTTTCACCATGACCACGTTGGCTAACCATTCTGGATAGTCACAGGGTTCAATAAATCCTGCTTCCAAGAGTTTTTCCACCTCTTCCAGGATTGCCTGGTTTTTCTCCGTGGAGAAGGTTCGCTTTTTCTGCCTGACTAGCCTAATATCCTCCTTCACATTCAGCTTATGCACCATGACTGCTGGGTCAATTCCGGGCATCTCATCTGCGAAAAATGCAAAAATGTCTTTATTCTTTCTCAGCAGCTCTATGAGGTGCACCCCTACTCCTGGATCAATGTCTTTTCCAATCTTCACCGTCCTCGAGGGATCACCTTCTGTGAACTCGACTGTGACATGCTCCCCGCTGGGAAGTGGTCTGGCCATTTCTTCTTTTGCAGGCTGGAAGTTTTCCATTGCCAACTTATGTTTATCTTTTTCCCTGTGATACTCTTCACGCTTCCTTTTCCTTGACTTCCTCTCAGGTTGCTCAGGGAGCCTTCTCTCGGAACCGGACTGTTGTCTGGTTTTGGCAGGCTTCTTTAAGGTGGTTATGTAACATTGTTGGGCTGTCTTCTGGCTTCCCCTGAGCTTTGCTGACCAACCCTCATTAGTTATGTACGCCATGGTCAGGTGGTAAGTGGATACCACCCCGCCTATCTTGTGGATGAGCGGTCTTTCCATGATTACATTGTAGGGTGAAGGGGAGTTTATCACGAGAAATTTTGCTCGGACATCACCTCTTTTTGACCTCTCTCCTACCCGGACTGAGAGTTCGATTATGCCTTCTAGGGTAAGCCCCGAGCTGTTAAACCCGGTGACCTCGTAGTTTACTCTCTTCAGGTCTTTCCTGTCTAACTTCAGCTCATTGAACGCACTGATGTATATGATGTTGGCAGAGCTGCCTCCGTCTATCAGTATTCTATCCACCTCCCAGTTTTCAATTCTCATTGTCACCACCAGCGAGTCATCATGAGGGTAAATTATGCCCTTCTGGTGGTATTAACTGTCCCCCCATGTACTGGACCCCCCCTGATCCCGTACACCCTGCCCTTTGGCTTGCCATCTCTATCCTTGTCTCTAGCTGGGCCCCTCTGACCTCCTCTGCGGTCAGCTCGGCCCGCTCTATCCTCCTCCCTTCTTCTGGAGGGTCACCACGCTGCTTAAAATGACTCAGGTATCCTCTCCTGACTAAGTCCTCTATGTTGTCCTTCAAGTGCATGCATTCTTCAGTGGTATGGCTATAGTCCCCGTTGTTAGGGTTTGGTGAGTACGACTCACCGCGGAAACAAACCCCGACCCAAGGAACCACTCGCAATAATTAAAATCATAACGCATAAATAAATAATCACAAAGAAAAGATAACGAATCTTACCCTTGAAGCGAGCTTCGCCCAAAAACCGGGGCTCTTACTTGAAAGCTACGAGCACGTCAAGCGTCGCGCCTTCGACGGTATCCACCCACAAAAGGGCGAACACAACTTTAAGGTCTACTACCTGGGGGTTAGCGAGGTCCGACCAAAACCCGAGTGTTATATGAGTTTAAGAGTTTTTCCAATATTATGGAATGCTTTTTTTAACTCCCACTCAAGCATCATTTCCAATGCCCAAAGTTGGGTATTTATAGGGAATGATGGAGTATGAAAATCTCTCCCGTCAATGTGGGACAATGAGATTTTCACATTTTATTTTAAAGCTAAAATTAAATTATTAAGCAAACTAGTAATAAATCAACAAGTGTCAAGCATACATGAGAGAGTAGGTGAGGACCAATTGGAGATGGGGACCAAACTTGCTCCCCACTCTCTCCCTCACCTTGTGCCACATGGCAATTCCACTTACTCCCATATTCCAACCTTCCCCTTATTCACGACCCTATGGCCCGAGCCAAGCCACGAGCCAAGCCCGAGCCCAGCCCGTACCTGGCCCGCACTCAGCCCGCACCTGCTACTGCTATGGCGCGGCTGCTGCTGTGGCGTGGTGCGGCTGCGGCTGCTGCTGTGCCTAGCCGCGACTGGCCGTGGCTGCCAGCACGGTGCGCTGGCTCGTCTTGCCCCTAGCATTCGGATGCTCGGGGCACTCCGATGCTAGGGGTATTTTCGGGAATATTGTTGATTTATTATTATTTTGCGCGTCTCGTCTTTTTTTTATTATTTTTGACTCAACTTCCGACGATCGGTTTTGACACTCCAAGCTCGAATTACCGTCGTCTAAATATTTAACACTCGGGCGACGAATTAATTTCTTCCGAATTAATTCGTCGAGTCGGTTCGTATATTTTGCTTGGGTGTGACTCGAAGGGTTCAGTCAAGATTAAGCTGTAATATTAATTATATTAATATTACTGATCCGAAGCGGCCTCCACCCAGGCATTCCGATCACTTGACCTTACTGAATATATTAGCTTTCTAATATTTCTGAACCCGCTATCAGAATAATACACATGTTCGAAGGACACTATTCCTTTCAATCTCCCACTTGTCCTTCCGGACAAGTGTGCATTTAGTGTATAGCCCTTATCCTATGTCTCTTCATGTCTCTTCATGAACTACAGAGTAAGATTACTAGTCATCTCTGTTACGTCCAGAAGTGTTTCTCGAAATCCGAGTTTGACTAACAATAAGCAGATGATTTCTAAAATCCATCTGAGCACGGCCATGCATTTTTCACAGTCTCGCTCTTCGAGAGGCCTTGTAAATAACAAGACATGTTCCCTATTGTTAGGAGGGGGACATTTCCAGTCTTGTAATGTAGCTTCTCTTACTAAGAGGACTCACCCGCCCAATATCTGTCTTTATAATCCCTAGTTACGGCGGACGTTTGGCGGATTCCAAAGCGGACCAGTACTCAAACAAGAGATCTCCCACTACTCATGGTCAAAGGAAAAGAGTTCCGATAATAATAATGAGAAAATACTTATGACGATTTTTAAATCTCTTAAAGTATCCTCATAGGTCGATCCAGTATGGTTCTAAACCAATACCTGTGCAAATGATTTATATCCTCATAGAACAAGAAACGGTGCTATAAATCATACTACACACTAATCTCTGATGGTCATCAATCGTCCACAAAATATGACCTTGATTAGGGATAATTTTCGATTAAAATATTCAATGTTCACTTAATAGGTGTTTCTTTATCCAAGCCATTGACTTGATACCCTATTTTGAATATTTATTAAAATCGAATGGACTCATTATTTAATTCTAAACCACAATTAAATAGAGACGGAGTGATTTAAATTGCATGAAAAATTTTAATTACTCAAAAACTGAATGGTTCATCATAGTGCTTTACATCAACATTGTTCAAAATTTGATTAAAACACTATAAAATGGAATTCAAAGCCAGTTCATGACATGCTTGATTCCCATTGCCTCAATGTGTTTGTTGTGCTTCACTTGAGACAAAGGTTTAGTAAGTGTATCGGCTACATTGTCATCTGTTCTAACTTTGCAAATTCTGATTTCACCTTCTAACTTCCATTCTCGAATCATGTGAAATTGCCTCTAGACATGTTTGACCTTCTGATGTTCTCGTGGCTCTCTAGCCTGAGCAATAGCTCCATTGTTGTCACAATAAAGGTCTATTGGACCCTTGATGGAGGGTACAACACCAAGTTCATCAATGAACTTGAGAATCCAAACTGCCTCCTTCGCTGCCTCAGATGCTGCCAAGTACTCAGCTTCAGTTGAAGAATCAGCGGTTGTGCTTTGCTTTGCACTCTTCCAACTAAACGCTCCTCCATTGAGACAGAATATGTATCTTGATTGTGACTTAAAGTCGTCTCTGTCTGTCTGGAAGCTTGCGTCGGTATATCCCTCGACAACCAATTCATCTTTACCACCATAAACCAGGAATTTATCCTTGTTCCTTTTCAGGTACTTTAGAATATTCTTGGCCGCAGTCCAATGCGCCTCTCCTGAATCTGATTGGTATCGGCTCGTAGCACTTAAGGCATACGATACATCAAGCATATCACATATCATGGCATACATGATCGATCCAATAAGCGAAGCATATGGAATTCGACTCATCCTTTCTCGCTCATCAGGTGTCTTTGGACACTGCTTCTTGCTTAAGGTTATGCCTTGTGACATGGGTAGGTGCCCTCTCTTGGCTCCTTCCATTTGGAATCGTGCTAGTATCTTATCGATGTAAGTGCTATGACTCATTCCAATCATCCTTTTTGATCTATCCCTATAGATCTTGATGCCTAATATGTACTGAGCCTCTCCCAAGTCTTTCATTGAAAAACATTTCCCGAGCCAAGTCTTTACAGACTCTAGCAATGGAATG